AGCACTAGGTACTTAAGACAGTGCCCCATGCCTGTTCACTCCTCCTCTGTGAAAGTACCAAAATCAGAAAGAGCACCAGCAAGTGGGCTCTCTACGGAGAGGCTGCTCTGTCCTTCATCTTAAGAAATCTAGGCTAATTAAATTCCCCCTCTTGAATGAATTTTAGTGCTATATTCTTAAGATAGCTTTTCGTGAACTGTGAATATTCTCAGCTTTTAACATCATTATTTATGTGTTTATGCCATATACTATAGATATAGAATATTACACACATATAAATAAACCAAATAAAGTACAGGAAAGCTCCAAAGGAGTGAGTAAAATCTTCATTTCTTCTGTACCCTCATTCTTTGTAGTTTTTCCAGGTTGTCTTTATTTCCTCTGCTGCTGCACTGAAATAGTTGGCAAGCTATTTGCAATGGAGGAGCCAGACCTAACCTCTTCACATATATTGTTTCCAACATAATCTTCCTATCTCACATGAAAGCAATCCATGTAATTTTCAAAATATATTTTAATAGACTATACAAGGAAAAAACTGGAATAATGCTTTGTAGATAGCCTTGTTTTTACAGGCCATAGTGTAAAGCTGAGTGAAACACTGTGGTAGACTGTATTCTTGTTCCCAAATAATCACACCTACTGTGCCCTGCAGTGAGTGCTTCCTTTGGGAAGAACAGACATCCCTGCCCCTCTGACATTGGGCCTGGTCATGTGACTTGCTTTGGCCAATGGCATGTGAGAACACATGACATATTCCTTGTCTAAGCAGAAGCTTTAAGAGACTGTGAGTGTTCCCGCTAATTCTCTTACTTTTCCCTCTGCCGTGAGAAAGTCATGTCCCAGATAGGAGGTGCTCCGTCAGTTTGGGTTTTGGAACACAAAGACACGTAGTGCACACCCGCAGCTACCCCACAGCTGCCAACCAGCAAAGAATGTGAGCAAGAAATTATTGTTGTTGTAAGCCACTGAGATTGGCAGGAATGAGTTTTAATGCCACATTTAGTGAACTATAAATATTCTTGGCTTTTAACATCATTATTTTTAAGTTGTTTATGCCATATGCTAATAAATCATTCTTTTAGATTTAAATTGTTTTTAAAACAGATAATTAAGATAAATACGCTTATTTTCTGAAGGAAACATATCTTAGAACTATAGTAAATTACTTGTTCCATATTCCGCAAGATTCTCAAACCTAGCATATTCACAAATGTTTCAACACCATCATTTCAAATCTGTCTTTCCATCCAATCTTGAGGTCATCTTTGAACTCTCCCTTATATCTCACAAATCCACTTAATTGTCAAGTTCAGTCATTTCAACTTATCAAATTTGTTCACATCCTTCTATGTCCTGTTCACTGCTGCCACCTTGGTTCAGGTTTCACAACTTCACCTATGGGTATTATTAAAGGTTCCTGATTGATAATCCAAGTTCCCCTCTCTCCCTTCTATTATTCATCATCTGACCTTCCTAAGCAAGCCCTCATCATGTTATACCCGTTGCCATCAAGTCGATTCCAACTCATTGCAATCCTGTAGGACAGAGAGGACTGCCCCACAGAGTTTCCAAGGCTATAATCTTTATGGAAGCAGACTGCTATATCTTTCTCTTGCAGAGCAACTGGTGGGTTCAAACCACTGACCTTCAGGTTAACAGCCCAGCACTTAACCACTGTACCACCAGGGCTCCTTAATCATGTTACAGTTCCACTCAAAAACTTCCTGTGATGCCCAGTGTCTATAAAATAAAGCCCTTATTTTGGGATTTATTTGATCCCAACCTACCTTTCCCCACAACTTTATTCATGAGTCTTCCCAACTGAACCATTCACCATTCACTCTAAAAGTGCAATGTTTTCCCACCTCTGTGACTTTGCTCACTCTACTCCCTAAACTTGGAAAGCTCTGACCTATCTTTTACCATATTCAAAACCTACCTCAGGTCAAATGTCACTTATTCTTCAAAATGGAAGCATCTGATCTCCTGTAACAACTAATTGTATTTTTCTTGGCACCCTCATCAATTATTTTAAACTAAAGTTTAACTTACATACATTAAAGTGCATAAATCTTAAGCTTGATGAATTTATATATATATATTTAGATATATCACCCTTGTAAACCTCTACCCAGATCAAGATACAGAACACTTCCAGCATCCCAGACAGTTTCTTTGTGGCCTTGTTTTGGAACTTCATGTAAATGCAGTCATACAATACGCACTCTTTTGCATCTGGCTTCTTTTATCCAACATCGATGGTATCTCTGAGATTCTTCCAGATCATGTATATCAGTTGTTGTTGTTAGTTGCTGTTGAGTTGATTCTGACTCATGGTAACCCTATGTATTACAGAGCAGAACTGCTCCTTATGGTTTTCTTGGCTGTAATCTTAATGGAAGCAGACTACCAGGCCTATCTTCTGTGGTACTGCTGGGTAGGTTCAAACTGCCAACCTTTAGGTTAGAAGTCGAATGCAAACTATTTGCGCCACCTGCAGATCTTGTATCTTAGTAGTAAGTTTGTTTTTACTACAGAGTAGTATTCCATTGTATGACTATACCACAATTTTATTTAACCATTCCACTGTAGATAGACATTTTCCAGTTTTTTGGCTATTAAAATAATGCTGCTATGAACATTTTTGTGTATGTATTTTGGTAGACATAAGTACTCATTTCTACTCTCAAGAGTAGAATTACTAGGTCATAGGGTACCTCTTCGGAGGTACTGCCAAACATTTTTTCAAAGTGGTTATACCAATTTACATTCCTACCACCAACATAAGAGAGTTGTAGTTGCTCCACATCCTTGTCAACACTTGGTATTGTCAGAGTTTTTTTAGCCCTTCTGGTGGTTGTGCCCTCATTTCTACATAGAATTACAACCACTACCACTATCATTTATGTAAGACTTCACAATTTGCAGACTTCTTTCACATATGCTATCTCAATTCATATTCCCTACAGCCCTATAAAGTAAGCAAGGAGAATCCCATTAGTATCCCTATTTTATAGATGGGGAAATGAAAACTCAGAGATCTTAAGCAGCATGCCCAAGATCATGAAGCTAGTAAGTAGCGGAGGCTGACCTAGACTTCAAATTCTGTGTATCCACCATGGTATACAGATTATAGTTATCTGAGTACATGTTTTATTTCTGCTAGCTTACTAAGAGCTCTTTGAGGTTTTTAAAAAAAAAAAAAAAAAAACCCATTGCCATCGAGTCGATTCCAACTAATACTGACCCTATGGGACAAAGCAGAACTGACCTATAGGGTTTCCAAGGAGCAGCTAGTGGACTCGCACTGCCGATGTTTTTTTGGTTGGCAGCCACAGCACACCATTTCTCTTAACCACTGCGCCACCGGGGCTTATTTTTAATTTATCACTATTTAACAAACGAATGAATGAACTTGAATATAAAATTGAAATTTCTCTGTCTATACATAAAAATTTATATTAATTGACTACAATAAAAGTCATCATCATTTGTTATCTGAAATCATAAAGGCTGGTATTTCAGAGCCACATATCACAAATATCCAAATATTTAGCCCCATTTAATGATTGTCTTTTAATATTAAATAGTGAAAAAAAAACTATCAAAGTTTTGACTGCTTTTCTTACTTACATGCATTTCAGAAACAATTATAAACTTTTAAACCATCTATTGACAATTTTCCCCTTCAAAGGTTATTTTAAACCCATTTAACTATTATTAAGCAGAACAAAATGTGTCAAAAATATTTGGACTCTTAAATCAACCAGATTCCAAACAGTTTTATATTTTGCACACAGAACACAAAAGTTGTAATATTTATATTAAGTGTTGTTTTCCTTGTGTATAGGCCAACAATATGCCAGAGTGTAATAAAGAAAATAAAAGAACCAATATAACCGTATGTACACTAAACTCTGGATAGTTTATTAAAAGATTATTTGATATTATTTTATCATTGTCTCTCAGGATAATTTGACATTATTCAAAAGATTGTTCTGAGTTGTCAATAAACCAGTGGCTATCTTCATCATCAAGCATGTGTTTTAGAAGATACAAGGCAAAGCACAGAATAATCCAATTACTTTTTATGCTATCAGAAACCACAGATGACACATTTAAACAGTCTGATATCCATGGATAGTCAGACTTTGATTTACTCTATAAAGCACCACTTCTGTTCAAGAAGAAAGTTACCACATGTTCTAGCCCACTCCCAAGGTGAAGTGTCCAAGTGTCCGCTTTCATGGTACCTCATAGTTTCTACTTTTATTTGCCTATGAATGTTCATCTTTTCAAATGCATTCATTGCTTTTGATGAGTCTACAAAACATTTATCATCTAGAACTTCTTACTTTTGACCTATAGGAAACTAATAAAAAGGTTATAAATACATTTTTGAGTCAAGAATTGTAAATGCAAATTATAGACAATTGAAACTCACAAAACATACTCTGACGTTCTTTACAAGATATTTTGCATCAAAACTGACTTTTGGTCTGAATACTGATCTCTCTGAGGCCAAAGAAGGTCTCCCACCTCAATGACTCAACTCATCTTGGGATGTGAACCCAGCTAAGTGCGCACTGACACATTCCAAGGTGACCATGCAATTCATTTGTAGCATATGAGAGTAGGATTTATAGCCTAAGGCTGCCCTAAGATATATTTTTAGCATACTACAGGTATCTGAGAATCACTCGTAATTCACAGGATATTATCAGAGATAAGGGAGTATGTTTAACACGAGTTTCTGTCTTACATTCAAGGCCAACTTGAAATTTAGAAAAACAATGACAAAAAAAGCTATGCAAGTAAATCCTGTAAATATAATCACTCAAGAGTTTCCTCATGAAAAAACATATTGCAGATATTTAACTACAGCCATTTACCCTTTGTACTTGTTTTCTTTCAATCCTACCAAAAAAATCATTTTTCAAGTTCAGAGATGAGTGTTAAAAACAAGAAATCCTGTTTCCAGTAGCAAATGAACATACCTCTCATGCATGTAGTCAACTCCCAATAACAGCTGGATAAACCATTCTATTATTTGATTTTCCGGAAAAGTTTTTCCAGCTTCTTTATATTCCTGAATTTTACAGTCCAGATCTCGGCCCTGAAACAAAATAACACAATTTCTCATATTTTTTTTTCAGATAAGATTTTAAAATCCAGTTCTCTTAGCAATAGCCAACATATAGCAGACTCTGTGTATTAGAAAGTGAACACATACTACAACTCTAACCGTCACTCAAGGACAAAACTCTTCTAAAGGAGAAATGTTATCAAGGCACCTACACCTAACAATTTTTTTATCACATCACCTAAATATGTACACTTATAAAACTAAGAATACCTTTACTTAGAATTTTATGGAATTATGTTGTTGTTAGGTGCCATCGAGTCGATTCAAGTCATAGTGACACTATGCACAACAGAATGAAACGTTGCCCAGTCCTGTGCCATCCTCATGATTATTGTTATGCTTGAGCCCACTGTTGCAGCCACTGTGTCAATCCATCTCTTTGAGGGTCTTCCTCTTTTTTGCTGACCCTCTACTTTACTAAGCATGATGTCCTTCTCCAGGGACTGATCCCTCCTGATAACATGTCCAAAGTATGCACAGAAACCTAATATATATATGGAGTCCTGGTGGTGCTGTGGTTAAATGCTGGCAGTTCAAATCAAACCCTGTGGGGTAGTTCTGCTCTGTCCTGTAGGGTTGCTGAGTTGGAACCAACTCAACGGCAACAGGTTTGGTTTTGAGGTTTTAATACATATACAAATTAAAATGTAAAGCCAGTAACAATCAAATTAATGATATAATCTAATAAAAAGATGGCAATGTTTTTATTAAATGAAACTAAATTGCTGCTTGCATTGTGCATATGGCACTGACAGCTGTAGCAGAGACTCGTTCGAATTTGGCATGCCCAGACTACCATGTGCCTTGTGACAACTTAATTCTCATTTTCTCCATTTAGCTACAGTAAAACCTGCAAAACCCAGAAACTGTGTAAGGCAGGAACCTGTCAGAGAAGGAAAACACAAATATTTTCCACAAAAACGAGCAATAGGAAAGTGGTAAGATGGCACCTTCTCAAAGGCGGAAAACTTGCAAGACCTGGAAAAACAAGGCAGTCTCTCACAGGTTTCACTGTATAGCAAAATCCTCACAAATACAGTAACTTTCTTGCGTGTGTGTGCTTTAGGTGAAAGTTTACAGCTCAAGTTACTTTCTCGTTCAAAAATTTATACACATATTGTTTTGTGACATTGGTTGCAATCCCCACAATGTGACAGCACGCTCCCCCTTTCCACCCCAGGTTCCCTGTGTCCATTCATCTAGTTCCTGTCCCTCCTGGCCTTCTCATCTTGCTGTTGGAGAGGAGTTGCCCATTTGGTCTCATATACTTGATTGAACTAAGAAGCACATTCCTCACGTGTGTTATTTTTTATTTTACAGGCTTGTCTAATGTTTGTCTGAAAAGTAGGCTTTGGGAATCGTTTTAGTTCTGGGTTAGCAGAGTGTCTGGGGACCACAGTCTCGGGGGTTCCTCCAGTCTCTGTCAGACCAGTAAGCCTGGTCTTTTTTCATGAATTTGAATTCTGTTCTACATTTTTCTCCTGCACTGTCTTGGACTGTCTGTTGTGATCCGTATCAGAGCAGTCATTGGTGGTAGCTGGGCACCATCTAATTCTTCTGGTCTCAGGCTAGCAGAGTCTCTGGTTCACACGGTCCTTTGGTCCTTTCGGCTAACATTTTCCTTCTGTCTTTGGTTTTCTTCATTTTCCTTTCCTCCAGTTGGGATGGGACCAATAGATGTATCTCAGATAGCCGCTCACAAGCTTTTAAGACCCCAGACGCTAGTCACCACAGTGGGATGTAGAACATTTTATTTATGAACTATGTTATGCCAATTGACCTAGATGTCCCCCAAGATTATCGTCCCCAGCCCCTAGCCCCTCAGTCCCTCAAAGTATCTGGATATGTCTAGGAAACTTCTATGTTTTTGCTTTGGTCCAGTTGTGCTGAATTCCCCTGTTGTGTGTTGTCCTTCCCTTCACCGAAGTTGATGTTTGTCTACTGTCTAGTTAGTGATTTCCCATCCCTCTCCCTCCCCACTCTCGTAACCATCAAAGAATGCTTTCTCCTGTGTGCAAACCTTTTTCTGAGTTCTTATAATAGTAGTCTCATACAATATTTGTCCTTTTGTGACTGACTTATTTCACTCAGCATAATGCCCTCCAGATTCACCCATGTCCTCTAAGGTCGCTATGAGTCGGAATTGGACTCGATGGCAATTTTTTTTTTTTTTAATCTTTACATGAGCAGGTGGCCAGGTCTTTTCTCCTATGGAGTTGCTGTTGGGTTCGAACCACCAACCTTTCACTCAGCAGCTGAGCGCTAACCATTGCACCAGCAGGGTTCCTTAAAATAATCATACTTGGTACCAAAAACTAATCATGATCACAAATGACAGCATCTAAAATTGCCTGGCAGTGTCTGACATAAGGTGTTTTCCGACTATGTTAAAATATTTCAACTACTATGGAAAATGAAAACACAAAATGTTAAAAATTTTCTTGGAGAAGCTGTATATCTGATCCCTTTTATCTTAAAATCCTGAGAAATTAGAAATGATCTGAGGAGAGTTCCTCTGAAGAAAAGAAAGGGTTAATTTACAACCTTGTTTGGTCTTTGAAAGATGTCAAGAGCATAGGTCCCACAAAGAGCAGGAGAGGTCAGGTTGAAAGAGCCAGAGATCAGGTTGTATTTGCCACCTCCATGACGAGCATAAGAGCTAAACATTAAGCTACTCACAGACTATGACAGAGTCATCTTTAGATAGAAAGCGAAAGTATTTCTGGGCAATGAAACAAAGGGAAATTACTTCTAATCAAACAACATGAGGTCCACTGACTAGCTCATTTATAATGCATTATTTATTTCTCTTTCAGTGCAATGTGCAAATATTTGCTTAACATCTTCTCTCCTTGCACACAGGGCCATAACAAGTCAAAAGTGATATACTGAACATTCGACTTGTAGCCTATCCCAGGCTCAATTTCCTTATGGATTTTCTAGGTCAAGAAGATCAAAGCTTGCTGGAATTTAAAAAAAAAAAAGTGAATTAAATATTTCAGTCCTTGTCAAAAGAGCATCGTTTCTTATGCCCCAAACCTGCCTTTCTGTTCCCTCTTTTTAATCCTAGAGTTTGCCAGAATTCTGCTGGATCATACAAGCTGTACTGTTACAATGTTTCTAGAAGTTGCAAAAATGTTTTTTGATGAAAGGTCATTACAGCATCCTGTGAAATAGACATGAAAGCATTTAAGATTAAAAGTGAGCTACAAATATACTTTTTTTTCAATCTCAGTTTTCCTTTTTCATCCAAGATGACTCTAGAAAAGCTTTTCTCATACATAAAAAAATTTAAAACAAAAAAACAAGATCTTCTTTCATCATTGCATTTGCAGAAAGATGATTATCTACATGCTGCCATCTCCTTTAATAGCGTCAGATGATGAGAGAAAAGAAAAGCTTACCTTAGACAAACACCAGTGAAGTTACCTACTAGCTTCTTATGTCAATGTGATGATTCTTAGTTTAGGAAGGACACACATAAGCAGAGTTGTCTCTACAAATATGGCCTTCACATATATAACTATTTGCCCCGATTGTAATAATGCTGAAATTTGGAGAAATGTGTCTGGGGATTAAAATAGCATTCCTTTCAGGCATTTATCCCCAAACTGCAATAATGCTTTTCACTTCCTACTGTCATTTTTAAACTGTGGCAGTTGAAGGACATGCATTTCTACACATTTGGATCAGTTTTGTATTGTTCTCTTTGTGAGTGAGCAGAATTATATCCTCTGTGAGTCACATCTCTACATAAAGGGAGCACATTTTCTGGGTGACACTTATTGTTAGTCTGACAATCACCTCCTTGCTCTCCCTCCTAAGCAGTGAGTAGAATTTGGATGTCTGTTTCCTGAATTGATATTAAGTGCGTGATATCCTCTGACTAAATATATACTTCGACTATTGAAAAAAAAAAGAATAAGGCTTTCAATAACAGGCCTCAAAGTAAAATGTCAAGAGGAAATACATAAACTCCCCCTTGCTCTCTAGGTACAATCCATAAAGGAAGAAATGCACCAGTTCTTAGTATTAAGCAAAGGCCATGTTCCAAGAACAGGAAGATGGAACACCAGAAGATTAATCAGAGAGCTATGCCTGGTACTCCTCAGTTAATCCCCCTACATTTTTCATTTTGTATGTTACCTCCAAAAAAAAAAAAATCTTTGTCTTATATTCACTTTTTTCTTTAATAAACACTCTATGGATTGTTTTGTTAAGATTTAATTAAGTTATAGAAATCACTCATAGATTAAGACACAATAAATTATGCTTTCATATAACAAAGAAATATAATTTTGTGAAGCAGTTTGATTTTAACTCAGCAATATGAGAAGCATTTATTATTTTCTTCTTTAAGCTATTTTCCAAGTAAAAATAAAATTTTTTCTGATGAAATGTCGCACCTTGGTTTCTAAAGTTCTTATTATAATATCTGTAAGTTTATTCGGTTTTCTAAGTGTTGTCTTTGGGGAATATTTAATGGTGGCTTTTATTGCTAAAATTAATAAGAACAGTATTGACTTTAACTCAAACCAATATTAATGTTGTTCTAAGTCTACACTGCTGATAGAAAGTGCTTTCTTTCATTAATATCAGCCCTCAAAAGTTACAATAAAATCTTTGATGTTAACTTCGAAGGTTTTGAAAATCTGTAGTCCAAACTGTACCATTTGGTGGATTAATGGTATTTCCTCCCTCTCTCCCTCATCCCAGTTAGCCAACATCAGATTGACTTTGAAATGCTGAGACCTTGGCGAAACACAGAATGGCCCAAATACAGTATCTAAATCCCAGCTCTGATCGCCGTTAAGTTTTAAATCCTAAAAGGATTTGATGAAAAAAATTAATCTCTGTTTTTCCGTCCTCAGTAGGAGCACTTACAACCAGCTTAAAAAACCAAAGTAGAGCATTCTCAAGCGAAGCCTCCATATAATAAAACTGCTATGTTAAGAGCATATACAAAGGAC